TCATGGATTTTTTTTTTTTTTAATGGAGAGAAAGTACTTTAGGTATAAGGATTTGATCTCTCTCATCCAATATTAATATCAATAACAAACATTTGCAGTGTTATATGTGAACACATATATATGTGTTACATGTGAATGTTATATTGTGACAACAAACTTTTGAGCCATTATGCATTCAAGGAATTTAGGTTTATTTTTCTTTCTTTTTTTTTTTTTAAGATTTTATTTATTTATTTGACAGACAGAGAGTACAAGTAGGCAGAGAGGCAGGCAGAGAGAGAGGAAGGGAAGCAGGCTCCCTGCTGAGCAGAGAGCCTGATACGGAGTTCGATCCCAGGACCCTGGGATCAAGACCTGAGCCGAAGGCAGCGGCTTTAACCCACTGAGCCACCCAGGCACCTCGGTTTATTTTTCTAAAATGAAATTAAACTTCTCTCTTGAGCTCGGTGGTAGAAAATACCTTTCGGTTCATTTTCAACCTGGATTGTGAGCAATAGATAGCAGTTGCTTCCCCATCCCAAAATGAGGGTCCACCATGTCAAGGGAAATAGATAGCCTGAGGTCGCTGGGGCAAAGGATGGTGACTCTGTGTATCAGACCACTTGTGGGCAATGCAGACAGGCCCACATGGGAAAGCCACCCCACTGGTCATTTTAAATGCTGTCCAAGACAAGGGCCTGAAGAGAGAATGTGACCTCAACAGGGCAGAGGGCTGCTGGAACCCAAGGGGCTGAGAAGAGACAGTCACAGTGGTGTTTTTGAAGAAACTGCAAAATGCTTACCAGATAGTCAGCTTTATATACCTGTGCTAAGCCCAGAGAGCTTATAAACCAATTCATGACAATATAAGGGAGTGGCAAGAAGTTTTCCACTGTAGTTACTACTTTTCTGTCCCTGCTACCCTTCAAGTCTGGAATAGCCAGAGACAGACCCAGAGTGGGGTGAGTGGGTATATAGGTGAGGAAGAAAGTCTAGACAGTAAAAACAAAGAAACAAACAGTGCATGGGGGATTTCCTCTCCCCCTTTTCAGTAGGCTTTTGCTATGCTTTTTGAGGGACAGCTAATTTCTGGAAAAGGAAAATACTTAAAACTTAAGAGAAATTTAAAAATTTTAACCTTGTTTAGATCAAACATTTTGATTAGTTTTCATGCAGATTGTGTGTGTCTGTGTGTGTGTGTGTCTGTGTGTGTGTGTGACTAAAATAAGTGGAAACATTTTAAAAAATCTAAGTATGACTAGAAAAACCACGTCTGCATTTTTATGCAAGGAAGTTGGAAAGTGCTACTAGGACACAATGCAAGTTTGAATAGGTAGTGGGGAGAATGAGGAAAATGGTTTTTCTTTCTTTTCTTTCTTTTTTTTTTTTTTTAGAGAAGGGGAGAGACAGGAAGTGAGTGAGTGGAGGGTATGGGGATGGAGAAGGGGCAGAGGCAGAGGGAGAGGGAGAGAGAATCCTAAGCAGATTTCCCACTGAGAGCAGAGACGGACTCAGGGGCTCAATCTCATGATCCCAAGATCATAACCTGAGCCTAAATCAAGAGTCCAACCCTTAACTGACTGAGCCACCCAGGTGCCCAATGAGAATTGTTTCTGATAACCTCTGATGAACATTCTTGTCCACTATGTTGCTTATATCCATATATTGACTACTCCAATGATTCAGTGAGCATGTTCCTAATTATATGATGATAGCTTCCCCTTTGATGAGTTGGTGATTCCCTGTCAAGCTGCCTGGGCTGGGAGAAGGGTCTCTGAGAAGTTCAGTAAGGTTCTGGGGAAATAAAAATATTGACTAATCTTTCAAATGATCATTCTGTCACCGTTACCTCATTTAACCATCACAAGAAACTTGTGCTGTAAGTGCTATTATTAGTCTTCTCTTAGGGAAACTGAGGCTAGAGAGGTAAGGCTATTTGTCACAAGGGACTACAGCTAGAAAGCCAAGGATGATTAGGAGCCAGTCTTTTTCCCTCTGGAGCCCATTCTCTAAATGGGCTTTAGCCTCTACTTTAGCCTCTACTACTCACTTTTGAGGCTATAAGAGGAGGCAGTGTGCTGGTCTTCTAATAAAAAGACTTCTGTTGGTGTGAGGGTCAGTCAAGCAAATTTACCAACTCATACAACTCTCGTCTATTTCCGAAACATTTCTTTACTGAAGAAGTTGATTTAGAAACAGCCAGTGAGGCTTTTTCCTGTTATAACTTGGCTTCTGCCTTTAATTTAAGAAGCACTTTTAATTTTTGGAATCAGGTCAGTTATTCTTCTCGGTATGTGAGAATAATATCATTGCAATATAATTTTTTAAAAGATCTTATTTATTTATTTGACAGAGAGAGATCACAAGTAGGCAGAGAGGCAGGCAAAGAGAGAGGAGGAAGCAGGTTCCCTGCTGAGCAAAGAGCCCGATGCGGGGCTCGATCCCAGGACCCTGGGATCATGACCTGAGCTGAAGGCAGAGGCTTTAACCCACTGAGCCACCCAGGTGCCCCGCAATATAATTTTTTAAAGATTTTACTTGTGTATTTGAGAGAGAGAAAGTGAGTGAGAGAGAGAGCATGAGCAGAGGGAGGTGCAGAGAGAGAAGCCGACTCCCCGCTGAGCAGGGATCCTGACGTGGGACTCGATCCCAGGACCCTGGGATCATGACCTGAGTGGAAGGCAAAGTCTTAACTGGTTGAGCCACCCAGGCACCCCCAATATCATTATAATAAAACAACTCTCTCATGGTTTCCTTTCAAGAAGTTAACAGTTACTACCTAGAAAATAATTCAAGTGAGCTTTAAGAGTTTTGGAACACAAAGAAAAATGCTTCTGGAAAAATGCTTACAGTCTCATGAAGTTTAGCCAGAATCCACAGGTACTTCTAGACCATTGTCAATATTAGAATTGTTCCTCTCTTTTCTCCATGTGGCAGAACTTTTAAAAAAGAAGACAGGAGTGAGTTTGAGCATTAAAGTAACAGCTGTATTATACTTTTTGAGCATTTTAATCACTTGGAAGCTTATTCTTTCCTTCTATGTTTCAATCCCCTTGATCTGTTTTTTTGCATTATAAAATGTAGTATTTTTACGATTCTACACCATACGCTAATCTCTTACTGGTCCCCCAGTATCACAAACTTCTTTTCCAGTGAGACCCGCAATCCCTATCACCTTCCTACCTTCTGATTCTATCTGCCTTTGAAGCAAAAAGAATGAGCTTAAGTGAGACCCAGAGGTCATCAACCCTGCGTTTGTGTCAGGACATGCAAACTCCCCAAGCCAATTACTAACCTGTTTTTAAAGACAACCTCCAATCAGAGGGAATCCATGACTTCTTTTTGTGAGCCATTGCACCGTGTAAGAGCACTCTATAAATGTCTTCCTCTATCTGGGTGCACTCTTATCTCACCGGTCTATTTTTTTCCTCATTTAAGTTAACCCTTTCTTACCTTTTTATGAACCTCTAGGCCTTCTCAGAAGTGGTGGGAGACAAATGTTCTGTAAACAGTCAAGACGGTAAGATGAGTCGTAGTCGCTGGGAACTTTGGTGCTCTACTCCCCCGCTACCCAGGATGGACAGCAGGGTTATGGCATTCCTCCTTTTATAAGGTATTTATCCTGCTGCTGCTTAGCAAACACTTTGAATCCTTTTTAACACCGTGAGACTGAAATTTCTGAGTCTGTTTCCAAACAGGACACTAGAGGGCTCCCAGGGGTTAAAAATAAGTGGAAAATTATTTGATTGAACACTGCTTCTGTACGGCTTTGGCTTTTGTTTTTTTCAGATCTTAAAATTAAAGTTTATTTTTTAAACTATTAAAAAAAAAACAAAAAAACCTTGTGTGTCTTAAAACTGGGTTACCAACAGCCAGTTGACAAGTAACCGTTTTGCTTTGCAATCAGGAGTTTTCAAGAGAGCTTTTAAAGCTGAGCTGAGATATTTGAAATGTGGAACACTCTTGACCATGAAATATGTTCTACTTACATGCCTCAGCCTTTAAAAGTTCTTTGCATTACAGTCAGGGATTACATTCTTCCTGGAGCCAAGCACGGGGCCAGCTGTGTAAGTAAGGTTGCTTAAGAGTTCTTCTTTTTAGTAATGTTAAAAAAAAAAAAAAAAAAAAAAAAAAGGAGAGAGAGAAAGCTAGAGATCCCTTTATTTTCTTTCAGCTGACTTTTGTGGGAAGAAAAGGAATGAAAGGCAGTTGAATTTGTGTTTTGTGTTTCTGTGTGTGTGACTGAAAAAAATGTAACTTCTTCTGAGATATATGGACATTTGGCTTTATATCGAGAGCATTCTTTATGTAGAGATGATGAAACTTACAGTGAAGAAAAAGTTGCACCATCAGATTAAGAGAATGTTTCTGAATTTGAATGTTAATACTTGGTGCTTCTGCCCAATTTGTAATGCAGGACTTTAAAAAAATAAAAATGGGATGGCTATAGATTGTTTTTAAACACCGTCTATCCCTTGTCTGAAATAATTTCTAAATTTCAAAAAGGGTTTGTCGGATTTTAATGCTTTTCTTTCAGAGTCAAATTAAACTACTTTAGCTACAAGTTATAAAATATTCTTGGATTTGCATGGTTTGTTTTCACTAGTTTAAACTGAATATCGACTCTATATTGTCCTGTTTCTCTTTTTAAACGTAATTAAAAAAAATTCATGGTGGTGGTATTTGTGAAAGGAAAGGGCTACTCTTTTTCTTTACTGTTGAAGAGGAACTGAACTAGTTTGAGATTGTGACTCAGTTAACTCTGTTTCCATTCATTCCCAGAAACAAGCCACACTTCTCCTTGGGGAAGCTGATAGGAGTTTAAAAGGTTTGTTGCCGCGAGTGTCAGAAACATTCCCAACTTCATCACCAGCCCTTTACTTCCACCTCTACCCTACCCACTGGAGACCACTTATATACCTAAGAGGAGGCGACAGCTGAATTCAGGAAACCATGCATCATGTCAGCAGGAACCAACTGCAGACTTTAAACTCTGTTCAACATGTGGATGCAGCAGAGAAATGACCTGTCCAGACAAGCCAGGGCAACTCATAAACTGGTTCATCTGCTCCCTGTGTGTCCCGCGGGTGCGTAAACTCTGGAGCGGCCGGCGCCCAAGGACCCGGAGGAACCTCCTGCTGGGCACTGCCTGCGCCATCTACCTGGGCTTTCTGGTGAGCCAGGTGGGACGTGCCTGTCTCCAGCAAGGAAGGGCAGCAGAAAAGGGGCCGCACCAGAGCCGCGACACCGCCGAGGCACCCTTTCCTGAGATACCCTTGGATGGTACGTTGGCGCCTCCAGAGTCCCAGGGCAATGGGACAACGCTGCAGCTCAATGTGGTGTACATTACCCTACGCTCCAAGCGCAGCAAGCCTGCCAATATCCGTGGCACAGTGAAACCCAAGCGCAGGAAGAAGTACGCAGTGGCCTCGCCAGCCTTGGGACAGGAGGCTTTGGTCGGACCATCCCTTCAGCCACAGGATGCTGATGCTGAGGTGCCTGGGTACGTCCAGGGAGGAAACCTGGCCAAGGTTGGGGAACGACCCTGGAGGTTGATACGGGGCTCGGGAGTGCAAGTTGGGGGCTCAGATTTTCAGCGGCCCAAGACCCAGGAGAGCAACATTAGGATCTACAGTGAGAGCGCCCCCTCGTGGCTGAGCAAAGAAGACATCCTCCAAATGCGCCTGTTGGCGGATGGTGCAGTGGCAGGTCTTCAGTCCGCGTCCTCTAAAAGTGGAGCGCACTTGCTGGTGCTGGAGGGGAGCTCTGCTGGCTCTGTGCCCCGCTGTGGCCCCAGCCCCTGTGGACTACTCAAGCAGCCTTTGGACATGAGTGAGGTGTTTGCCTTCCACCTGGACAGGATCCTTGGGCTCAACAGGACCCTGCCGTCTGTGAGCAGGAAATCAGAGTTCATTCAAGGTAACAGCTTCACATGCTTCGTGATTTGCAGCTGTTGGGGATTTGGGTTGATTTTCCTCTTTTCCCTCAGTCTCTCTTTCGAAATGATTTTCTCCACCCACGTCTCACATTTGGACAGCAGCAGCATGTCTTTCCATACGTTTGGCGTTCTTTATTTTCCCAACTTTGGGAGGATATGAGCGTTCCAGGGAAATGCTGTATTCAACATGCAAGGGTAAGCCCACACTGTGTAATCTTTGCTCTCCTTTTCCCTCACTGCACTTCCCAGTGGCTTATTAAATCTAATTAAAGCCAGTGGCAATTTGCATGATGAGAAGAGGAAGCCGGGTGGAGGCAAAGAACTTGCTGACAGTCAGGCATATTATTAGAGAGGTTACTATGGAAGTAAGTAGAATTTCATTCCTTAGGAGTTTTTAAAAGTAAAAGGGAGAGGGGGTTATCTTTCTTCAGCAGATGGAAACTTTTTAAAAGGCCCAGAGACAGACCATGTTAGATTTGACCCTTTGATTTTTTTTTTTTAAAGATTTTATTTATTTGGGAGAGAGAGAATGAGAGAGAGAGAGAGAGAGAGAGAGAGCACAAGAGTGGGAGAGGGTCAGAGGGAGAAGCAGACTGGAGCCTGATGCCAGACCGGATCCAGGGACTCTGGGATCATGACCTGAGCTGAAGGCAGTTGCTTGGACCAACTGAGTCACCCTGGTGACCAGACCCTTTGGTTCTTTTACAATTGATTTAACTCCCTTAGTTTTACAAAGAAAATGAAATGAAACTAGGTAATTTTTTCAGTATATACTAACTAGGTGTATGGTTTCTTCGAGCCCATGACTAAAATTTATTGAGCTTGATTTCTAAGATTCTGTCAGGTGACAAACATTTTGGCAGGTTCTGGGTTATATAGCCAGTCACTTGGGTGTCAGGCAAAGGGGCTTGTCTGTGGCTATATGAAGGATATTTTCTGAATCTTGAGGCTGTTCCAGGCTTTGAATACAGTGTGGGTCAGTGGTTTGTGTTTGAAAGCAGAATAAGCCCAGAATTTGCTGGTGTGAATCGAGACTGGCCCAACAGACTAGAAAGGACCACAAGGGAATTATAAGCTCAAAGAATATTTTCTTATTTTTTGTCATCATAAAATTTAGCATTTTATGGAGTCCAGAATGGAATGGATTAAAATTCTTGGGAGTGGTCAAGAACTAAGCTGTATTTTCAACAGCTTTAGGGTTATAATTTAGTCTTAAAATGGTACTTCTAGAAGTACCAGTGATTTACTTACAAAGACTTGACATTCCTTACTTATCCTGGTCCATGTTTAAGTGCTTCAGTTTCACAGGTATGTTTTGATGTCTCAAGTTCACAAAATAGTCCACCATGATTAGGCAGATGTGCGATAACCTCCCAAACATTTAATAAAAGTTTGGTTAAAACTCATTTTTCTTGGGTGCTCACTATTTGCTAGGCATTATACTAATTGATTCATATAGTTGATACATGCTTGACCCCATATTTCTCACAACTAAGCTATAAGGTAGAGCCTACCTATAAGGTAGGTTCTGCTTAAGCAGAACTTAAGCTCTAAACCACTGGGCTTAGGTGACTGTATAACTTATCATCCAAAGCAGATCACCCTGGAGTAAAAGAAGATACTGGTGAGCATGGAGATAACAGGCATCTACCAAGTCTGTCTTGGCAAAGTAGGTCATAGCATAGGGTCACTCTTATTACCCTATACTGCCATTCACTATCATGTCATAAAGGCCCCTGGGTAGAGAAGGTGAATAGATCCTGAGGTATGGTACTCCAATATGGTACTTCCTTGGGATACTCTTGGATGGAAGTTGGGAGAATTAAGTAGTGGGTAGGAACTTGGAACTGTTCTGCCTGAGTTTGAATTTACCAACCATGTGAGCCAGAAATGTTACAGTATCTCTGAATGCCTCAGTTTCCTCAGCTGTAAATAAAAGGACAATAGTACTTACCTGATGAAGTTATTGTTAGTTAATACATGAAAAACAAGTGGAATGAGTGATTTTCACACAGTAGATCTTCAATAAATATTGTCTATTTATGTTACTACACTAGACACATGAGGTACCAAGTTCACCAAGTTACTTACATGGCCTCCAAGCCTCATATATCATGTCTTTATATGACACAACCAGGTCTAGAGCACTGGTCTCTTGATTGTTGAATTAAACTTTTCAATATCAGGATTCCTTGTATATACTTATTCTTCGCTCTTTGCTCTTAATATCCAGGATTTTTTAAAAAATATATATTTTATACACACACACACACACACACACACACACACATTTATTTATTTGTTTTAGAGTGAATGAGATAGAGAGGTGGGATGTGGGGCAGAGGGAGTGGGAGAGAGAGAATCTCAAGCAGACTCCCTGCTGAGCATGGAGCCTGACACAGGACTTGATCCCACAACCCCGAAATCATGACCTGAGCTGAAATCAAGAGGTGGTCACTTAACCCTCTGAGCCTCCCAGGCACCCCTGAATATTCAGCATTTGTCGGGATCAAGAGGGCAGTTGTATTCAATTTAAAGGATGGGTTTTATAATCCCAATATATCTTGGTATTGTTCTCTCATTTTGACCTAACCGGTGATGAAAAGAAACAAAGTTATATCAATATGACTCTCAGTGTGATGAGTTACCTAAGATTATATCTCAAACAATACTAAATCTCTCTTTGTTTTTTTTCTTTGATACCTTCTATGTAGTTATTTAGAGACATAAAATCAAGCCAATTTCCTCAGGAATCTGTGACATGATTTAAATATAGTTATGAACACTCTACACAATATAATTCTACTCATGTAGGCTATTATATTGGTGTAAAGTGCATAAATAGATCAGTGCTGGTCATGGTAGGAGATATATAGACAGTCTTAGGTTCTTGGTATCTCTCTCTATCCACCTATTTCTAGGCTTTTCTTGACATGTCTTTCCTCTCCTGATTTCCACAGAAGTGTGTATTTTCCTCTAACTCCTCTTATTCTTCTTTTGGTCCGAGCTTAGATTTATTTCAGGCTCCCTGTCTACCTAAGGAGATGATAGATCTTACCTAGTTGCCCAGGATCTATTTTTGGTTCATTTATTTTTTTTAAGATTTTATTTATTTATTTGACTGACAAAGATCATAAGTAGGTGGAGAGGCAGACACAGAGAGAGGGGGGAAATAGGCTACCCACTGAGTAGGGAGCCAGATGTAGGGCTCAATCCCAGGACCTGGAGATCATGACCTGAGCTGAAGGCAGAGGCTTAACCCACTAAGCTACCCAGGTGCCCCTCTGGTTCATTTTATATCATCTCTTTGTATTATAGTTACTTGTTTAATCATCTTTTCATTCCCACTAGTCTCTAGGTCTGTGAAGGCAGAGACATTTCCTGTCTTGTTTATCATTTCTAGATCCTAGTGGAGAATCTGGCACATAGTAGGTGTTCAATAAATATTTTTGAATGAATGCAGGAATACATTCTTGGCTTGTTCTACTGATTTTTTTAAAAAGATTTTATTTATGTATTTGATGGATAGAGATTACAAGTAGGCAGAAAAGCAGGCAGAAAGGATGGGGGCGGGGAAGCAGGCTCCCCACTGAGCAGAGAGCCCGATGTGGGGCTTGATTCCAGGACCCTGAGACCATGACCTGAGCCGAAGGCAGAGGCTTAACCCACTGAGTCACAGAGGCTCCCTGTGTTCTACTGATTCTTAACGGTAAATCTGTATTTGCTTCCACTTCCAATACTCAGGAGAAAAGTACGACCATTTTTAGACCTAAAGTCATGCTGAGATTTCTCCTGGAGGATCTTATAAAGAGCTCACTATAGAGGTAATGAAAAATGTCTTTGGCAGTCTCTGTGTTATGCAAATAATGAGATTTATAGAGCTTATTCTTGTGAGGACCATCAATGTGGTCTGCTGGTCTTACACTGTAATGTAATTTGATAATGAGTTTTCTGTAGGAGGAACTGTTGGATTATTTTAGGTATGTATTTCCTCTGATGATCTGGCTTGGTCTAAGAATAAATTTTTTAATATATGGGAGATTGAGTGGCCAGAAAATCCTGTAAGTAATCCTGCCCTAAGTGTTGCTTCTGTTCTCTGACTTTTGATTAATGTTTGTGAAAATAAATTCATGCCCAGTACCAAGAACATAGCTAGTCTGTATTATGAATCAAATACAGATATTTGGCTTATCTCGGTAAATCTTTTGAAGAAACCTTTGCAGTAGAAAATTTTTTTAACGAGAAAATCCAATGCTACAATTAAATGGTCTACCTGCCCCCAGCCTCTCAGGTGAATCTTTCTGTTGATTGAGTCTGAAGTCTCGGTTATAAAGCTCATCTTCGGGTTTTGTTTGTTTGTTTGTTTGTTTTTAAAGATTTTGTTTATTTATTTGACAGACAGAGACCACAAATAGGCAGAGAGGCAGGCAGAGAGAGGAGGAAGCAGACTCCCTGCAGAGCAGAGAGCCCGATGTGGGGCTCGATCCCAGGACCCCGGGATCATGACCCGAGTTGAAGGCAGAGGCTTTAACCCACTGAGCCACCCAGGCGCCCCTGTTTTTTTAATTAATAAAATTGTTGTGGGTGATCCTATCAGCAAAGACCCACTAGCTCAGGTTAGCTTAGGACAGGTTTTTGGTTGTATAACTTAGTGAATTGTATCTGATTCTCTTTGAATACAAAAAGTATGTATGTGAAATTCGTGGACTCACTGACCTGGTGCTGTATATCGGACCATGTTCTGACAGGTGCAACTCCAAAGATAATCCAGAAAATGAGAATGGTGTCCTTAGGGAAAAGCAAGTTTGTAATTAGATAGGGAGTACCAGTGGTGCACCATGCTACAAAATCTAGCAATTATCACTGGAACAGAGTCTCCTCTTGTGCATATCTACATGGGAAATGCAAAATTGAATGGAAATACAGCATCAAAAGGCTTTTTCAAAAAATCAATTCCTGCAACAATGATATCTTCTTCAAC